ACCTCATTAGTGCTGCCTATCAGTGCCCATCAGTGCCGCCTTATCAACGCACATCAGTGAAGGAGAAAAATTACCTGTTTGAAAAATGTTATAATAGAAACAAAGAAACTTTTTTTTTTTCAAATTTTTTGCAATTTTTTTGTTTATAGCGCAAAAAGTAAAGCGCCCAGTGGCGATTAAATACCACCAAAAGAAAGCTCTATTTGTAAGAAAAAAAATTATAAAAATTTCATATGGGTACAATCTTGCATGACCGCGCAATTGTCAATCAAAGTGCAACAGCACTGAAAGCTGAAAATTGGCCTGGTAAAGAAGGGGGTATAAGTGCCCGGTAGGCAAGGGGTTAAAGTGCACTTTATGAAGAGTTTTGAACAGATAAAAGACTTTTTTTTTTACTTTTCTCTGACCTCCGGAACGGATTATTAATTGGTTTTCAGTGCATTCCTATTGGAAACTCCGTTTTGGTTTATGAATTTTTCACGATACGAAATGACCTGGAGAACGCATTAAATTCGTAAACCGAGATACACCTGTGTAGATATATATTTATATAGATAGATAGATAGATAACGTGTAAATTGATGGTTCTTTATAAGTACCTGTAATAATAAATGTAGATGTTGAGAAAAAGATGTAAAATAAAAAAGGAATTTGTAAACTGAATGCTATTATTTCTGGTATGAACCGCACGCAGCTACCAGAATACAATATTTTATACTATAGTGGTCCTTTACCCTGAAGTGATGAAAAAAAAACGCTGACCTGAAGGTCGGGCCCATTTTCTGATGAAGCAGCTGGATGGACCTGAATCCTGGGGTGTTATGATATGTACTGTACACATGCCTAGCCCCATGTTTGCCCCCCGCCCCCACTTTTCTCTCACAGTGATGGTTACAGTCTGACTATATTGGCTTTATGTTTTCATCATTTAGGAATCAAATGATGCTTAGCAAAGTTATTCTTTAATAGCAGACTAAATACACAGTAGGCCACCTGTTATAAGGCTTTTAAAGTTCCTAAGCCCCAAAGATGTCTGTTCTAACTCTTGCCATCTGACACGAACGCTGACACTTTAGCATGGCTTCAAGTAGAATTACTCCAAATCATTTAATCTTTCTAATTCCTTGATCTGTCTTAGTGTCTTCAGCTGTATCCTGCGGTATCAGTCTGACTTTGAAATATTGATCTCGGTGTTTAAAGGATCCTAAACCTTCCGTGCCGTGTGTTTTTATGTCGCTCGCCTTTTATCTCCGAAAGGAAATATCTCCTTTTCATTATTTTCATGTGTTCCTTCATATTTCTTGTTTTGGTTTATCACCTGTTCACTATTCAAATGTTACTGTAGTTCACTAAAGTCCTTTGTTCCCTATATATCCGTTTATTTTTTCAGTTCATTACCAAATAATCAGTAGTTGAAAATATGTTTTGTGTTTTTCGGAGTCTTCAGCTTTGGAGACTCTTCATGAACGGTAAACTCTCAATAGTGTGCTGTGCCAGATGCTACCTTCGCTCTATGCGACACTTTCACATTATTAATGTATTCAATTTGGAGATTTGCAGATTAGCTACTAGAGGCAAGTTAGCTACACAATGAGCTTGATTTACTAAAGGCAAATAGGCTTGCAAGTGCAGCTGCACTCTGTAACGGCATTTCCTCCAGAGCTTTACTAGAAACTCTGCTGACTTCCATCATCCAAACATGTGCAAGCAAAAAAGGCAGCTTTTTTTTTTTTTATTTTCCATGCAAGTGATTGGGTATTCTTCAAAATTAAGCTTTACCTCATTTACTAAGCTCTGGAGCAACCGCACTTGCAAAGTGCGCAGTCTATTTGCCTTTAGTAAATCAACCCCATTGGCTCTGCCTTTGTTATGGCCTCATGCACACAGGCATAAAATACCGCCACCTTTTCAGGCACACAGCATATTTTTCCATGTTAACCTATGTGGCCATGCACATCAGGCATTTAACCTCCCTAGCGGTCTGATTATGTCGGTATTTCTGGGCTCAAAGCGGTACATTTTTTTGCATGGAAATATGTATTTTTTTTTCTGTAGGCCTGTAATTTTTAGGAATAACTCACTGAAATCTGTCCGAACAAGAGTTTAGTAAACATCCTGGGTATGATAAAATTTGAAACACGAAATCATAAATTATAATATAATAAATAATCATAAAAAAATAATAATAATAAATTTAATTCAATAATATAATCAAACCAAAAACACTGAAATTTGAAATATAGCGCAAAGTTCGCACATCACTGAGCAAAGTCGCAGAATCGTTTTCAGTGTCTGATGACGAATTTCCCCCACGAATCATTATCACTCAATTCTGCAAGTGGTTCTGATTTACTATCGCTGTTCTCTAGTCGGTCTAAAACTGATTTTGACCTAAAGGGACGCTTTTTGGACGCCATGGACGTTTCTCAGTTTCCAGTCAAAAAGAACAGTAAAAATGCAGGCAGGGCGCCGGACAAAGCACTCGGACAAAATGTATGTGAAATGGTTTGATACAGGAATGTTATACTATGTGATTTTAGTGAATTTAGTGAATGTCACTTTTTGTCATTTTCAAATTTCCCACCAGTTCCGCCCCCCGTACGTCCCGACGCTCGCAGGGGACGGAACCCAGATGACAGATGCCGGCATCCGCCGGAGGACATTACAGGGGACACTGCAGGAGGGATATCGCGGGAGCGCAGGACAAGTTAAGTGATCGAGGGATCCCGAAGCAGCGCCGCATGGTAAGCCCGAGTGTAGCTCGGGGTTACCACTTGTGGTACTGAAACTTTACCCCGAGCTACACTTGGGAATACCGCCAGGGAGGTTAAATGCACCAAAGCTACATTCAGCCCCGATTCACACCGGGTGTGGCTTTGAAGTCATGCTAGTTCAGGACGATTTCAAAGCCGCTGATCAGTGCGATTTCATGTGCAGCTTTGCCAACATCTGTGTGACTTCATACACAGATGTCAATGCAAGTCACACATGAAATCACGCAAAAATAGTGCAGGAACCTTTTTCAAAGTAGTTGCGACTCATGTCGCATTGATTTGACCGGTTCCATAGCAGCAATTAGGGTGCAACTTGTCACGCAACTTTGATCTGTCAAGTCACATGACAAGCCGCACACGGTGTGATCGAAGGCTCAAAGAGGAGTTTACAAGCACACACATGTAAATGTATATACACGCACACGTATGAGTGTAAATGTATTCCAATGGCCAGAATAAGTGATATTCTAGCCAGCAGAATGCATTTATGCTGAAAGCCATACACGTATAAAACGCAGATACATACATACACGACATTAGAGGCATTTTTTTCTGTTCTAGCAGGAAAAAAATACAACATATTTGGATTTTAAATTCATACGCCCATGTGCATTAGGTCTTAAAGCGAACATAAACCTTAACTTTTTTTTTCACATAACAAACATATTATACTTTCCTGCTCTGTTCACGGGTTTTGCACAATAGTGGTGTTGCAGTACTCAGATTGCTCCTAATTAAAGTACATTCAATGCCTACAGTGATTTGCTGGACGTCCTGGGAAATAATTTTGAATGTTGGCAACTATTTAGGGGGCTTCTAGATTCCGATAAGCCGCCTCCACATCAGACTCCCCATATAAAAAGGGGGTAAAGGGCTTTGCTGGGAGGGGGGCCTAACTATGTACCCTCCCTAGATTGAGATTAAATGGGAGCTCCAACCAAAAGGGGAAGTTATGCTTTAAAGACTGGTCCCCGCCCCCCCCCCCCCTTAATGATTGGGGGAGCAGGTACCCGAATTTGACAGATCTGCTGCGATCTCCTAGGCGATCGGAACTGGAAGTTGTCCTCCTACCCTCCCTCCCCATAGTCTTCTAGGACACGTGACAGCTCCCAGAAAACTAAGAGGCCATTCAAGAAGCGCAGAGCTACTCGCACATGAGCAGTGGGCACTCAGCTGTGAAGCCGCAAGCTGTCACAGCCGGGTGCCCACACTGAAGATGCCAGCACCTGCAACACTAGATGGCTGGTGAAACGTGCTTCAGGGAGGACACCGCTGGACTGAAGGATGGGTAAGTGACTGTTTTTTTAAAAGTCAGCAGCTACAGTTTTTTTACAGTGTGAGTGGAACTCCGCCTTAAGTAGGCTTGTAAGGTTTGGGGAAGGAGGGGGGTGCATGTTCTATGCTTGCCCCCATTTCTTGCCCAGCCAGGCTGCATGCTAGGATAAGGGCCTAGGATGGATTTGGGGGGACCCCATGCTGTTTTTTTTAATGGGGGGATTCACCTTAAAATCCATGTCAGATCCCTATCTAGGATAAGAGTCTTCTGTGGAATTTGGGGGTCTGTTTTTTTTTTTCCTTTTGCACAGCATCATTGGTTATTATGGAGCAACATAAAAATCAATAACTGCGTAGCCGCCTGTGTTCCAGCAACCAATGATGTCATTGGTTGCTAGGAAGCAGGTGGCCAGCCTGCACAACTGTGTGAGCATTTGCATCCTAGCAACCAGACACTTACGACCCCACAGAGCTGGAAGTTGTCAGTTAATGATGATAATGATACCAGCACTACATGAATGACTTCCAGCTGCAGTAGCAGCCAGAGGTTTGCGAGGATGAACAGGCCGAATCTGGCCATTACATTTTCATGTTCAGAAAACCACAAACAGGTAAAGTGTGCTGCGAACCCGGGATCATAGCAAACCTGAACCTTAACCCTTGTGGTAACAGGGTCGATGTAAATCACGTCAGCAGCTCTTATGTCTCTCAGAGTCTTCAGTGCCTATTCCTACACTTGTAGCTATTCCAAAGTGCGCAGAAATTATGATTTGGGAGATCTCACCACAGGAGCTCTCAACAAGCCAATAGACTCGCTTTACCAGACCAGACCTGTCACAAAAACATCACTTTTGGGTGGATAACAACATTGCTACCTCCAGCTGCTACAAACAGCATGTCCCGGTCAGGGGCAGACTGACAACTCATGGGGCCCCCAGGCAATAGGGGATTATGGGGCCCCTGTGTCCTTGCCCAAACTCAAAAAAGCCTATAAAAAAGGTACCAGGGGCATCTCATGGGGCCCCCTACTGACCCCGGGCCCTCGGGCAGTGCCCGAGTTTCCAAATGGTCAGTCCGCCCCTGGTCCCGGTAGGTATACCTCATGTAATGGAGCCAGAACTTACTAAATAGCTTAGTTATGTTTACTTTTCTTGTTGCACTATGTGTTTCTCTATATTGCACTGTCAAACAATCGATCTGACATCCTTCTCAGTTCTCGATTTTATTTCTGTTAAATTGTTCCTCTGCCCCCCGAGTGCTGAGCTTCTAGTTTTATACTTACCAAACAATCGTTTGAGGCTGCCCACCATGAGAACTATGGATTTCCCTTAAGTCGGCCATAGATGGATCGAAATTCAGCAGCAGGTTCAGCAGGGACCGGATGAATTTCGATCCATTTATGGGCAGGCTGGCTGTACTGCAGTTGATCTATCGATCGACTGCAGTACAGCCAGCGTGCCAGGTTTTTTCAAGCAATTACTGCTGTTGGCTTTACCAGCCAGCAGTGACCAGGGGCGAACTGACCATTTGGAAACTCGGGCACTGCCTGAGGGCCCGGGGTCAGTAGGGGGCCCCGTGAGATGCCCCTGGTACCTTTTTCATAGGCTTTTTTGAGTTTGGGCAAGGACACAGGGGCCCCATGATCCCCTATTGCCCGGGGGCCCCATGAGTTGTCAGTCCGCCCCTGGCAGAGACCATTGTATTCTGATGGCGGAGAAACATCCTGCTGTCAGAATGCACTAGCGCAGTGGGAGAAGGGAATGTGTTGATGGGGAATCAAGCGATTTTCTTTCCTTCAATTCACAGTCGAGGGATAGAAAAAATTGCTTACTGTATGGCCAATCTTAGAAATGAACAGGACTGTGGCTCGCATGCGCAGTACAAAGCAGCCAGTTTTCAGAGGAAAGGTTGCATGGCTCAGAGCAGCACAGTGAAGATCGCTGTATCAGGGCTGAGGGACAGTATAAAACCATGTGGGCAGCACTGAGGAAGGCTGGGGAACGATTTACAAAAAAAAGTCTTATGAAAAGTAAATGTGTATATATATAAAAACTGTGCTTAGTGCTAAAAAATATTAATAAACTCCAAAGGTACACAGCTGCACTGGGAGTTTGAGCTGACGTCGCCCATGCCTGCCAGCGGCGGTTTTTATGATTATGCGCTTACTCATATTGGATTTTTGTAAGTAGATTTTTACTTGATTTAATTAAATATTTGACAGTATCACACTATTGGAGTTTCATCTATTCTGGCTGAGCAAATGCATGGAGCAGGAAGGGGGACTGAAGTGGAGTATAACATCGGGTACTGCATGTGCTCCCTATATGAATAGACCCATGAAGCAAGACCCATGCAGCTTCATGTTATTTGGACCACCTAAAATTTGGGGTGTAATGATCTGGTAAGAGGCTGTATGATTATGATGATGGTGGTGGTGGGCACACTGGTCACATATCATTGGGCTTGAAGGATATGCTGAACACTATTTTCTTTTCATTGAACACTTAAAGTGGTTCTAAAGGCTCCAGGTTTTTTTTAGCTTCATTCATTATATGCATGAAGGTAAAAAAAAACTTCTGCGTGTAACAGCCCCCCCAGCCCACCTAACACTTACCTTCAACCCATCCTGATCCAGCGATGTCCACGAGAGCCTTGGTTCTCCAGGGACTCTCACTTCTGTTTGGCTGAGGCAGTCAATCACAGCCAGTGTGCCAATCAGGAGAGGGGTGGGGAGGGAATTATTATTATTATACAGTATTTATAAAGAGCCAATAGTTCGCTCAGCGCTGTATATTACAAAGGGGAACAGAACATGTGACAGAACAATAACAATACAATGCAAAACATGAGGGGATCGAGGGCCCTGCTCTTTCGAGCTTACAATCTAGGAGGGAGGGGATGGTGGCACAGGAGGAGATAGCTGTGGGGTATGGAGTGGTAGGAAGAGTGGAGGAGGTCGGCAAGTTAGCAGGGGGTGGGGTAGGCTTCCCTGAAGAGATGGGTTTTCAGGGTGCGCCTAAAGGAGAGGAGAGTAGGTGATAATCTGATGGGTTGGGGCAGGGAGTTCCAGAGGATGGGTGACACCCTGGAGAAGTCCTGGAGGCGGGCATGGGAGGAGGAGACCAGGGAACTAGAGAGAAGGAGGTCTTGTGAGGAGCGGAGTGTGCGTGCTGGGCGGTACTTGGATATTAGGTCAGTGATGTAGTTCGGGGCAGTATGGTGGACAACTTTGTACGTCAGTATGTCGTGGTTTTGTGTGTGAATAGGCACACAGAGCTGCGGCTTGGGATCATGCATGCTTGGGTGCCCCCATAGCATGCTGCTCGTTGTGGGGGCACCTAACAGGATGGAGGGGCCAGGGGCACCAGCGGGGGACCTGAGAAGGAAGAGGATCTGGGCTCCTCTGTGCAAAACCATTACATAAAGCAGGTAAGTATGGCATTTTTTTTTTTGCTTTTTTTGGGGGGGGGTTTTAATCAAGACTCTAGTATCACTTTAAGTTTATGGACATCTTACATTATGTGGACTTTAGTGCTTTTGGTGATTATAATTTTTGTATTCAAGGAGAAATACCTAATGGATATTATACAGTGGTTCACATATTTTTGTTTGCATACATTTGGATTATCACACACGCGACGCAACAATACTGGGTTAATGTTATTGTACATTAAGTCCCCGGTCACACTTTCAATTTGTATGCCATATGACTTGTAAATGGCAAATCGCACCCTATTGTCTGCAATTACAGCAGTCATATCGGTGTGGTTCTGACTGGGTCAGAGCCGCACCAATTTCTAAAGTAGTAAATGCGCTACTTTTGGTGCGATTTGCATAGACATCTGTGTCAGATGTCTTGCAAATCACAGCCCAAATCGGCATGTCACCTGACTTTGAAATCATGCAACTTCACTGTAAGTTGCACGATTCCAAAGTCGGGATCGGTGTGACCGGGGTGTAAAGAAAACCTGCCACATACAAGCTACAGCTTTTGTGATTTATGTTGACTTCAGCTCTTTCTGGAACCTGGAACAAATATAGTGATAAGGGATTTTAATACGTGTTTGACTTTTATTAGATGAATGTGATTCAGAAGTACTGATGCCAAACAAAACCAGGCAACTGGCATTTTCAAAAGGCTCCCTGCAATGGCAATTTTTATGTATGACAGCTGTAGTCATGACTGTAAGGTTCTTTTTGGGAACTAGTCCTGCTCTATTGTTAAGGGAGTTCCTTGACTTTGCTGGGCGTATATAAGGATTGGTGGAAGGAGTCAATAGATGGTTGGCAGACAGATTTCCGAGGAAGGGTCCTAAGAAAATAACCATGTAATTGGTAAAGGTTTGAGCTCCCTTTCAGGAAGGGAGCAGAGGCCAGTAGATTCTGGTTTCCTGAATAGGAGGAGAAGATTAAAGTAAAAAAAAAAATACTATGATTTCTCCAATAGAGGCTGGTTACAGATTTTGTAAAAAGAGTTTACATCCATGGTAAACATTTTGTTGGATAGAAATGTTCTGTTGTTAGAATTGTATTGTACAGTAAAGTATACATTTTTTTGATTTGAAGCAGCAACTGGTTGTGACTCTTCCTGAAAATGGGCTGAGTGCACGAAGGACATTTTTTTGAAGCATGATACAAGAGGAAAAGAACTGGGGAGATTCTACAAGTATCAACAGGTCCAGAGATCAGAATTAAATTATTGTATATTACTCACTTCTCCAGGTGGCTGGTAACACCATATTGTGTATCATGGTAATCAGGTGTGAATACTAATCATTCCATTGTTGTGTGCAGCCTATTGCATTAGGGTGTGCACTTCAAAGCTCATACACACAAATATACACACACACTCATAAATAAATGTAAACAAACATATTAAAATGTATTAAAACATGGACAGTGTCAACAGGGCAGTGGATGCTGTCAGTAGAGTAGAGGTTGGTGTCAGTAGAGCAGTGGACATGTTAGTAGGGCAGAGGTTGGTGTCAGTAGGATAGTGGATGGTGTCAGTAGGATAGTGGATGGTGTCAGTAGAGCAGTGAAAGTATCAGCAGGGCAGAGGCTGGTATCAGTAAGAGAACAGATAGTGTCAGTAGAGCAGTGGAAGTATCAGCAGGGCAGAGGTTGGTATCAGTAGGACAGCAGATAGTGTAAGTAGAGCAGTGGACATGTCAGTAGGGTGAATGTTTGTGTCAGTAGGACAGTGGGTGATGTCAGTAGAGCAGTGGATCTGTCAGTAGGGTATAGCTTGGTGTCAGTAGATCAGTGGACATGTCATTAGGGCAGAGGTTGGTGCCAGTAGGACAGTGGATTGTGTGTCAGTCAGTAGTTTTTCATTTTTATTATTTTATTTTTTTTACAATATTATTTTTTATTTTGTAGGAGCTCCATTAGGGGGCTTTGGTGAAATATCAGGGGTCTAAACAGACCCCTGATGTCTCACTTTTGAGACAGAGAAAGGGACTGAGGAAAGAGATTCCCGAGTCCCTTTCTCTGCAACCTCAGCTGCACTGGACAGTGAATGAATCGGAACAATTAAGTGTTCTATGCTGAGCGGTTTCCTGTTCATTCACAAAGTGAAGCATAGTAAACACAGGACAAAATCCCCTTAGGTAAAGCTGTGAATTCTCGGGTACCCAAGGTCTAAAAGATGCTGCTGGGCCTTATGTACTGGGGATCATCTTAGACTCCCTAGTATATAGCGATGACAAAAGAAATATTGGCAGTTTATTACCCAGCAGTGATAGTGGGTGCCCTTACAGACAGAGTATCCAGAACTAGAAATAAAAATTTTGCAGACATTCCACTGTAACCCGACCACATATGATGGAGTAGAGATTTGTTCAGATTAAAGTTATTAGGTAGCAGGAGTTTAGGTCAGAAACAGGACCGAGGATGGGATAGGTGAAAGCTGAACTCCAGACAAATAGCTAAATACACAGAAGAAAGACAAAAGAACACACAGGGGGCGCAAACGCTTAGTGCATTGC